TTTTTGCTTCATTTCAGTCTTTATGAAGGAGACTTGCAAGGAGTTTGATTAACGAGCGCAAGCAAGAAGCGGAGGTGGAAGCTTCGGTTGTCGAAGATTAAGGCGTAGAATCGAGACTTGGCTTGCGTGGGTCAACATTGACGCTATTGAGGGAGATTGGGAGCGAGTATGTGCTGGGTTTGTGTGAAGACGGACGACCGAATGGTGGCTTTTGGTTCGGAGCACCAAGAAACCGGAAGCAGGTATTTGTGAGCGAGAGAACTAGGACCGAGTGTCCGTATTTCTTTGTTGCGAATGCGGGAGCGCTAAACGGGCTGAGAGGGTTTTGTACGTGAAGTTAGTTCGGTTACTGAGATCGTGGAGACAACGTTGCCAAAGTCGTGGACGGTGTCTAGAGCATCGTTTAGGAGAACATAGTTTTTGTGCAGATTGCCGATCAACTGATTAGCCAGTCAACAGCTAGCTAATCAGTAATTACAACATTAGTAGGCTAAAGAAAACATTTTGCCCATGGTTATCTTAACTTCCATACTAGATTTAAAATGTTTAGAACTCTTTTTATTAGAGGCCTGTAATTACAAATAAGGCTAGTTCTGGTTTCTACTAATATAACAATATTGTTTCCTGGAGATTTATTGCATGTCTTTTTCTGGTACTTCTACATTTCAAACTGCTCTCCATTCTATTCAACCCAGTTCTTCATTTCCTGAACACTACTATATCTTAAATTTCAATAGATCTTATGTTAAACAGTTGCCATCCAAAAAGTTCAGCTTCGACATAAAAAATACCTCATAGATTATCCCGCTCATAATGGACTAGATTTAAATTAAAACTTCTTTCCGTTGTATTAAACCTGTCATTATTTTCATAAACACTACTAATACTCGGATTACAATAATGCTTTAGATGATAAGTTGCAAAATCTGATATCCATTTTGAATTTTGATCTATACTCTAGTAAGATTGTTGAATAAAAATAATCAACAACAAGGGTGCCGACCAGTGGGAAAGAAAATGAAAATCACCCTATATGATTACATGGATGCTCATGGAAATAAGAAAAAAAGGGACAAACATAGCCAACAGCATTGCCAAAAGAACAATGAACCAGAATCGACATACCATTTTGTAAGCTTTTTCCAAAACTCTTTGGTAACTAAATGATAATCCTTCCTTCCTCCAAATTCATGCGAAGAGTTGGTTTATCACCTCCTTCATTTGATCTATCTGAAATGAGCTCTTTGTTATTAATCTGTCCAGGCCTACAAGGGTTTTTGTAGAGCGCCAATTATTTGAATGATTGCAAAAATGAGGAAGTTCAGTCTCTTCAAAGCCCACATATCTTTGCCAGTTCCCCCACCATCTGCAAAAAGATGGTAAAGCTTACTAGAAAAAGTATAGAAACAGTCTAAATCAACATGCTTCCTCTTCTTCTTTAATAAATGAATTCACAGAGAAACACAACTTGTATACCAATTTTGATGAGTTCTCTCAAATATAGATTGAAACATGGACTGCACCAAATTGTTCCATAATTTTCTCATGACTATGTCCATGTGATACCATCATTAGCCTTATTCCAACTACTTCCATTCAACTTAGAAGGTGTGTATAATGTGAAATACGTAGAAAGAAGATGAATATTCAGAGGAATCATATGAAAAAGTTATCCAAAGGATTAAACTCCTTATATTGGACAAATGAATATTCATGGGTACTAGATAATTAATTATATCAGATAAATGAATGGAATAATCTTTCATTGCATAAACAAACTTACCAAGCAACCCATGGATGCTAAAGACCGTTTACCGGAGGATTGAAGTCCTTATAAAAAAAATTTAAAATGCCATTATGTGTACCACTTCTCTTAAATGATAAACATACTTAACAAGGGAAAAAGAAGTTTAAGAACAAAACCATCAAAACCGGATACCAAGTCATACAACCACAATATGAAAAGGAAGAAACCTAGTTTCATCATCATTAGCCTTACCCCAACTATTGGGTTTAGGTTTGGCATTACGACTCATCAATTTTCATTGTTCATGTTGAGTGTTGTGTGAAGATGCTATAAATATTATTCATAAATTAGTCTAAAGGGCTTCTCATATTCCTTGTCCAAGCAAATTATATAATTAACTATAAGCTAATGCTTAACCTAGAAAAGTTTGTTGATGTTGCAACATTTGGATAAAAAAACAATATACAAAAAAGATATAGCATTGAAACTAACCTTAAGTGATTATTTAGATGGCCAAAATCTCAATCATGAATATGTATTCAAACAAAAAATAAAAATGCTTCACAGATAATTTACAAAGCTAGGTGTGACTTGGTTATGATATTTGGTATAAGTCAATTAAAAGCTAAATTTAAGAAAATGTTGAGAAAAAAATTCCGATAAATTTTTTTTGAAATTAAAAAAAAAACAGAATCACATATTTCATCATATGTGATACCCTAAGCATTATTACAATTAAACTCAACAGAGAACATAGCTTAGTGAAACCTACAGTATGACATGTTTGAGTATCTTCGATCTATTTTTACACCAAATTTTAAAAAAAAAAAAAAAAAAAATTGCAAATGGAGGCTTAACTTCTAGAAATGAAGTTGAGTGCTCAAAATGAAAAAATCCTAAGAGCACCATGCACCATCTCTTTTATCCATATGACATTTACTAAGAATATTATGCATTAATACAAGAATACCACATAAACATAAGCATAAATTTTATGAAACAACAAATTAGACCAGCACATTTTTGAGGTTATGAGTATTTGATGACAAACAAAAAAGACATTATTCAAGGTCGATTTGAGCAAATCAAAACTAAGATGCAATGAAAAATGATCATATTAGATGAATGGATGATATAGAACCAAATGAACATAAGATAATGGACGATAACCCATGAGATCTAGGCATCTACAACTGAAAGTAAAAGATGCATTAAATAATGCGAGGTAAAATTAATGTGACAATTTAAGGAAATAAAAATGGTGAATTATGAGTAACATGGCAAGAAATCATCCAAATGACTTGCACATAATAGAATTGCAAACTCCTGTATTCACTTAATAGGAAAGAATGAGGAGGTGATGCTACCAAAAAAGGATAGAATTATGGAGGATGTGTTGTTGGATAGTAGGGCAATAAAAATCACCATTAAATATCGAATTCCAAAACGGATGAACATGCTTGATGTGCTGAGTTGATGCCTTTTTGGTTCTTTCAAATGCTTTCAGAATACTTTTATGAGAACAATTGAATCATATTTGGACACCTCCAATGGAAAGTTTGTTATTTTAAAGAGATTTTGTTCGTCTTGACAGATATTCCCTCGAACTTGTACTTCTGATATGTGACACTAGGTTTTTAAGTTCACTTTGGATAACTCGTGGAGCTAAGTTAGGAACTTCTCTTCACGTTTTGTAGTGCTTATCCTTTCCTTCAAACCGCATGAACAAAACTGAAGTTGTAATTAAAAGATTTATAAAGAATTTCAGTTCTCTGATTGCTCCTATTACTGATTGCTGAAAAAGGAATTATTTTAGGTGGACACTTGAAATTATTTAAAACAAAAAATGAGTTTCAAGCTCCTTATTCTTAAAATTGCCAAATTTGTGAAAATCATTTTTTGAAGTTGATTGCGATGTCTCTCATATTTGGTATTGGTGCAATGTGCACTTAGTCAAAAGAAAAACATTTGTTGGCTTACCATTAGTGGAAAATGCTGACTGAGTCTAAGTCCTAAGTATTCTACTTATTGATTTCGATTCTATTTGCTATTGTCTGCAAGCTTTTTAAAATTTCTGGAGATGCCTATCTGATTCAGACGAAGAATTTATTTTGAATATGATCACAAGGCTTTACGATTTTGGATCACAAAAAATCACTGAACAAAAGACACGCCCAAATGGGTTTCTTTTTTACAAAGAGTACAGTTTCATAATCAAACATAAAACTGGGTTTTGAATTAAAGTTTGTTGATGCTTTAAGCAAACGGAAGATTCTCATTTTGTTGATAACTATTTTTCCCGACTGCTTACTTCTTTTTGATTTTGAAAGGACCTCTTATGCAAATGATTTCTGATTTTGAAAAATTTGGAATGCTTGTTATGGCTTCTTAGAACTGATCCTTCTGCTCGAATTTGTATACATCAAGGTTTTTTTGTTTCAAGGGGAAACTAGACTTTGCATTATCAAAAATTTTTTTGGGAGAACAACTTGTGAAAGAATTGCATAATGGAGGTTTGGGAGGACATTTTTGGGCAAGGAAAAATTAATTCTTTAGTTAAGAAAAGTATTTCTGCGCCCCACATTGAGAAAAGACATTGCTAAGATTAGTAAAACAATTGCCAAGTATTTTGAAAAACTTAAGAAGGTTACTGCTAAATATAAGACTGAGGGCTGATTAAACATCGAAAAGAAGCAAAATTTCAATAAAGGTAGACTTAGTGATTGGCTTACTTTTTGTTTGCCAAAGGTTTCTTTGTTGGCACTTTTTAAAAAGTTAAGCAGGAAAGATAGAAATTTGGTCCATTTCGTGTGATTAAAAAATTAGGTGCTAATGCCTATTTGCTTAGATTTACCGATACTGTTGGCACTTCACCTTGTTTTTAATGTTTTTGACCTGTCTTTGTATGAAGGAGAATTCTTGATGACTTTTGTAGATATTGGAACTTTACCACTCTCTGCTCCTTTGTTAAAGTCTGAAGATCAAATCGAAGACGTTATTGATTGTGAAGGTTATTCAAACAAGGCATGAGAGAGCACAAAAAGTTTTTGTCAAAATGGAGCAATCGGCCATTGACTGACTGTACCCTGGTATTTGATGCTGCTGATCCCAAAAAAGAAAAAAATTTGGGAGCTTTATTGAACGATGTTGCCTGATACGTTCTCATCAGAGCTGAGAATTTCCACAGGGCGAGAAATTGCATGCTATCAAGAAATCTGTACTTTTTATTTTATTTGAAACCAATAGTATATTTTGTTTTCTTTTTCTTTTTTTAGTATCCAATATGGGCGAAAGCATCCAATCATATGGTAAGTAGTGCATATTGCTTGGCTAAGACCTTTGGTTTGCTGGCCTCAATTGGTCCCTGGCTGCTGGTGGTTCTCGGGTTGGCTTGTTTTGGAGGCATTTGGTTTTGAGCTTGTTCCCTTAAGTTGCATTTGAGCTAGAAGTTTTAGTAGCGCTCATTAATATCCAAAAAGGTACATCATTATGAAGTTTACTTTTTGGAAGTGGCCTTTGTCCCTTTCCCTTCCCCTTTTCTTCTTGTCTCTTGGGATTTCCGTGGCTTGCTATTTATATGGGGAGGGATATTTGAATTCTATCTGGAGAATTTCATTGGGAGTTATTGATTTTCCTTGGGAATTCAGACCAGTCTTTGTTTTCCCGATGCTTTGCTTGCTTTGGGATTCTTGGCGGGTTGCTTGCTTTTTGCTTCCTTGTGCCGCTGATTTACAATGTTTTCCTGTATCTATTTCCTTCAGAATAATAAGGAGCTGATTTCCGAAAATGGATGCTATTTTTCCCGTTTACTGTTTGCATGCTTTGGAACATTTCCGCCGTTTGCTGGTGCCTTGCGTTCCGTGAGCTGCGGGATTGATTTTCGCACGAAAAGGGCTCTTTTGGAAATCTATGGAAAAAATAATGCTTGGATGATTGTGTGCATTCCAATAAAGGAGGCTTTTGGCATTCCTTTTCTTATGCCTTATAAAAATGAGATAGATGTTGTGAGGGAAAAGGCAGTTGATAATTTGTGAGCATTTGCTATAACCTGCGCGGTTTATTCGGAAATTCCTGCGGCTTCTTTCCAACCTTCTTTTTCTCATTCCCCTCCGGAAAAGATCCTGGGGCTCTTTCACCCTTCTTCTTGGCTTCTAACCTCTTTCGTCTCTCCGCAAGTGCCACTCCATCTGTATCCTTCTTCTCAAAGTAAAGCAACTTTAGGGTGTCGTATCAGAGTCGATTTGAAGCATCTATTGAAGAATTGGGCCAATCTTGCAGTGGTGGACCATCGGTTTGCTAGTTCTATGCGCTTTACTTATTTAACCTACAAATTCGATGCATGTGAGGAACCCGCTCTGACGGTTGTCTGAGGATAACGTCTTTTTAAGTTTCTTTATTTCTTTAAAATCTCCTAGCATCTTTTGTTGTGTTTGTCAAGTTTTGGATCGTTTGAGTTTATTTAACAAAGTTTGTTTTAAGTTCTACTCATTTTGTCAGTGTTCTTCTTGTGTGTCTTTTGTGTTCAAGAAATATAGGGTCCCCTATATTCCTTGTCTACATCAGGAGGATACATAAAACTGGCCCAAAGTAGTTAGGTGTAAGGCTAATATCAACGATGATTACAACAAGTCAAACAATGTCTGAAAGCAAATGTCCAAACTTAACAAGCCATTTTTCCAATCTAGACCAAGTTCCAACATTTTTTTCTTAGTATGACATAAACAAGCATGTCATCAGTAAAAAACAAATATCACAAATTAAATTTGCATGGTGATGAGTTATTCAATACAAAATACATTTTTTACTACACTTTACAGATAAGCTCAGTTCACACCCAAATCATAGTACAGTAAAAAGCATTTATGAAAGCATAATTGTTACATAAATGATGTGTTCAGATTTGGAGGCTTATTCTTGATTGATTTTGCAAGAACTAAGTGATTTCCTAAATTCAGCATAACTATGAAGTGTCATAACACGAATAAACTTTAATTTCAAATGAAAACTAGCAGCCATAAAATTTGATTTCAGAAGGATACTCCCCTGTTTACATTAATTTTATCAAGAACACAAAATTGTCACCACTTCTACTATAAGTTGATTGTCAATGAGCATATCTTCCTTTAATATTTCCCTGCCACCTACCACTTCTCACATACCTTGCAATTAAATATACATTTTTCACAAATCATTAGGGAAACAATTGTAATCTTACAAATTTCGGGTAATAACCCAACATTTCCGATCATGTCATGTAATCAGCGAAGTATCTTCTGTTAATAACTAATTTTTATCTTGTCGTCAAGTCTAAAAACTGTCCAAGGATATTAAAATTTGATACCGAGGTGACCAGCTCTACCTGACAGCATTCATCATTATGTTAAGAATGTGCCTTAGACAACATTTCACCAGAAAGCTAAAATGGTCATCCCCTTCAGGCCACAGGCCTTTTATCAAAACTTGGAAGCCTGAAAACCACAGGTGGAAAGTTCAATGGGCTTCCCACTATATTCTCGCTCAGAGGAAAACATGGGGGAGTAAAGGCCTCTCCCTTTGTGTCATGACTTCTTAAAACTAATGTCAGATAATATCTTTCATATTAAAAAAACTTGCTAAGTTTACTGTAGATTTGAATGATCATAGAAAATCACAGGGTTCCCTGATCATTTAGTTCTCTTCTCCAGGCAATCAGGGGTTGTCATCCTTTTCTAACATCTTTTCATTCACTTACCTGCCCTGTTTATGACTAGCCTAACTTCATGGTACAGTATCAAAAGAGAAAGAAATCTCTACCACCAGTAGCAATCAGATGCCGCACAATTATTTATTATAACATACTAGCCATCAAACTGCAGGCTTATGATCTAGAAGATTCAAGCAACTCCAATTCAAAACGCCAGCATACAAAGGCTCACCAAAGTGAAACGCTAACAAATTCCCCCTCTATTACAAAGCATCCCCTAAGCAACAAATTCCAGCTATAACGCACAAGAACGCAGTTCTTGAGGGGCTCCTCATGGACAACAGAAATACATCATCCATCAGCTATGCTTCGTCTAACTTGAATACAAGGTATAGAAAATATCACCTAGCAGAGATAACGTAGACCGAATCCCCTTCCTTCATATTAGCTTCCGCCTCCCTCGTCAGCTCCATAATCGTCTCCCTCTCCTCCTCGGGAGTGCACGGTAAACAGCTTTCTAGAGACAACAAGCCCCCGGAAGTCGGAATCGTCATCCTCAATCCCCCAAAAACACGGGAAAGAACGACTCGCCTGTGGCCGGCAATCAGATGGAATCTGGAATAGGGATCTGATTCGAAGCCCTAGATAGCCGGTTATAGAAAGGGAAACGCAGGTGGGGTCGCCGCGACGGAATCAGAATCACTCAGCCAGCTCGAAAGAATGGAATGCCGGAAGAAGCGCAGAGGCCGCAACGACCCTTCTTGATTGAAATGGGCATCCTCTTCACGGCTCCTGATCTTCCAAATGTTTATAAACATTGCATCTTCCGTATATCGTCCACCTGTCAGTTTTTTCAAAGGTCCTTAATCGCGTTAGAAGGCTCAGGGTAAACTACCAATAACCCACCAACCCCTCTCTAGAATGGTAGATGCATTGGAAATATTTTGCGTAAGAAATTACTACATATATTCTTTTGAACACCATTATAGGTATATATATATAGTAATTATATATTCTTATAAACTACGAGCTATTATATATATATAATCATTATATATATATAAAATAAAATAATGTAACTCAATTTATTTATAAAAATTTTAAAAATAAACTAAATGTAACTCGATCCATTTTAGGAGCTATTTGGTTGGCAGCAAAGTAAATGTAAAGAAAAGTAAATATCCATATTTTAATTTTTCGTTGTTTATTTTGACATGAAGTGAAGTGAAAGTAAATCTCGTTGTATTCCGAACTCTCTGTCGTAGTTCATTTTGTGGGTAAAGTAAAACCGCTCAAATTCGAGCGAAAATGAATTCACGAGATGCGGGCGAGAGAAATTCGGCTCCTTCGACGATGATGACTTCGCCCCTTTGATGACATTCCCTTCCTATTGGGCTTCACTCCTTCCATGACGTTCCCTTTGAGCCAGCTCCATGTGAAAGTAATGCAATGTATGTCATTTGTGTGCTTCTTCGCCCCTTCAACGATGGTGTTCCCCATTCAACTTTGCTCAAAATTGACGAAGCCGACCATCGTTACAGGCAGCAAGGAGAATCTCCATTCATGAGCCACACCTCTACCATTTGCCTCCAAGACGACTGCCGTGAATTTTGCTTCTCAATCGCTGTCACTATTCTTCTGACTCGTCCGTATATGCTTCGAAGTAGCGAATGGAGTTGGTCTGATTGAAGTGTCGGCTTGGATGAGATGCTTCTTTGCTTTGAGTTATGCATTTCTACTTCTAAGCAATGCAATGTATGCCACTCCAAGCGGAACCTGGAACAGCAGGATGGTCGAACCACCTCGTGCGGGAACCTAGAGCCACAAGCTATGTATTTTGTATTTCATCAGTTGGGGGACTTCAATATGACAAATAAATTCATTTTAGGAATAGACACAGTAGGTGCTCGATTTAATGCCTCATCCAAACGAGGCTCTGATTTTACTTTACTCCGCATATACTCTTTCAAATAAAAAAAACAGTTCCCCTGCATTCACTTTATAGACAACAAAACAATCTCAAGGATTAACTTTACATTACATTTACTTTACTATACAATCACTTTAAACAAACCAAATAGCTCCTTAATGATACTCTTCTTCCATATTTATATAATATATGAAGTCTAAAAAATATATTGGCTCTTTTAATACATTAGCATCTCTCAAACTATTATTTGGAAGCATCGTTGGGTATTGAAATAGATCAAATAGTCTTGCTCATAATGCTATTGATATACCTCCTCAATATATTGAAATCATGATTGCCTATATTCATAATAAACATGTGTGTTGAACCACTTACAATATGTCGTGGAAAAAGTCAGGAGTGTAGCTACTAATGATCATATTTAAGCTTCGTTTGAGATGACTTTTTTATCATTTCATAAAGCAGCTTTTTAATACAAAAATTAAAATTTTTATACTAGAAAGCTGCTTTAATAAGTAAACAAAAGTCGTTCCAAACGAAGCCTTAGTTGGCTCTTAATATTCATTAAATATGTTTAATTAAGATCATGTGCGGGGCAAGTTTTTATGGCTTAGCTTTTCAAAACATTATTAGTTGTTGTTTGGCTATTGATTCTCAAAAAAGTTTGTGGTGGAAAAAAGCAATCAGGTCTATTAAATGTTGTTGCCTTAAAGAAAAGTATATAGCTTTTTCAAAAAGATATAATTATATTTCCCATAATTACTCATTAAAAATTAGCTTTTATTGTACCTCCTTTTTTAAAACTAATTTTGCAAATATCTACAACAACCCAAATGAACCCTAAGGATCCAACTTCCCATTCTAAATATCCTATTTGAAAGTTTACTCCAAGATTGAAGGCAACTTTCTAATAAGCTGCTCTGAGAAGCAGTAAGAAAGGCATCTCAAACTAAGCCTTAGTGGCATTTAAATTTTTTCAAGTCTTGTTAGAAATTCAACTTGTTTAGTTAAATGTTTGAATTAGCAATAAAAATATATTCCCCTCAGTAAAAATATAATGACCTCATTCTCTTAGCTGATAAAGACTTTGCAATACACTATATGTCATTCAGGGCTTCTGAATTAACTTGTATCCATTACATCATTAGATGAATAAATAAAGTGTATAATATCTAAAACAATTATGATTTATTATCTATTATTTCATCTGTCCCTTTAAATGATCATATTTATACAAATGCGTTATAGCTTATATCTTAGGCAATAAGTATCACGTGTTGATTATATTTAGGGCAAATTCACACATATTACTTTATGCTTTTCTAGGCCATTAGTTGAGAAATATCCACATGAGAGTGATATAATATAGGCTTCATTTGGGATTGCTTTTTATTACTTTTTGAAGAAGTTTTTTATACTAAAAATTTACTAAAAAATCAACTTTTGGAAGCAGTAAAAAAGTCATCCCAAACGAAGCCATAATCATATTTCAATCTTTTCTTGAAAGAAAATTGAGGCAAGAAGTTATTTAGTCGATAAAAATTGACTTTTTTAAATGAGTTATTATAGTTGATACGTCAAAAAAATCAACATGATCTGGAATAAATTTGAAACTCATTTGAATTATAATTAAGATAAAAAATTCAGGACCATCCAGATTCTGATTTCAACAAACTATAGTCAAACTAATCGTGTTGAAGAGATGAATCCAATTACTCAAAAAATAATAAAATTCGAGTCCAAATTAGCCCTGGCAATGAACTTCACAGTTATGGAATGGTAATTGGATGACTAAATGATCACCATACTTGTCAGGCTTATAATAAAATGAGCATCTTGGTGAGATGAATCCAATGAACCTAATATCACTTAATTCCAAAAACATTAAGACATGTAAATGTTGAATGAGTACTTATAATCAATAAAATCAATATGAATCTTTTGTATTGAATGATACGAATTTTTTTTCATATTTATAAGGCATGCTACTATCAAAATTCTAAAAATAGGGTTTTCATCTCTATTTGAAAGGGATAGTGGTAATAGATTCAAGACAGCTAAAAGGCTCGAACAATCCATGAGCTCCTCTTGATCACCACTATAGTCAAACAATCATGTGATTGTCATTGTGGAACCGCCACTTGAAAGTTATCATTAGAAATTTATTGTCTGGTCATTTCCATCAAACTAATGCTCAACAACATTGTTTAACTATAGTCCAACTGCCAATATTGGACCTTTGTTGCTTGGCCGCCATTGTTGGATAACCATCTGACCACCACTATTAGATCTTAGCCACTTGAGCACCACTATTGGACTTTTGACGCACGAAATACATTGTTAGACATCTATCTAACTGCAACCATTTTTCTTTCTCTGCCTAGCTATTGTCATAAAAAAGATGAAATGTGACAGTCATTTTCACTCAACTATAACCATCTGAATGCATTTCGCCTCATACAAACTTAGCCATATTTTCCACCTATTCTTCATATTATTGTTAGTTTTGTTGAAATATGTAGTAGGTGTCAACTTGCAGAAGATAAAATAACAGAGGAAACTGGAAGGAAAGAAGGAGAAGAAGTTTCATGAAATTCATTCATGCCTCATTCTCATTAATGTAGCTTTTTATATTTACATGTATCTCATTATTACATAGTAAAGTAAATGGACACATGGACGGTCTAGATTTGACCGTTAATGATCAACGGTGACGGTGAGAGGCAATTGCACGTACAAGTCTAACACCACCACAGCACATGGCACGATGTAATGTAGTATTAGCATGTTTGCTTAATACCTCCCCTCAAGCTAATAGGAGCTTCAAAAAATGGTTAGTTTGTCTCGTAATTGGGCAAACCGCTGAATCGAGGGGGATTTAGTAAATAAATCATCTAATTGATATTGAGTATAAATGTGAGATATTTGTAAGACCTGATTTTTAATGCAATTCCTAACAAAATGGAAATCAATTTCTATATGCTTAGTTCTAGCATGAAAAATTGGAAAATGCCATAGCAAATATGTTATCGCAGAAAAGAATTGTAGGTTAAAAAATAGAGATATTGAACTCATGTAATAAACGACTAAGACAGATGAGATCAGTGGCAGCGATGGCAAGGGCACAATATTATGCCTAAGTAGAAGATCTAGCCACAATTATTTGTTTCTTGACAAACCATGAAATAAGAGTTTCTCCAAGAAACGCATAATATCCTGATGTAGATTTGTGGTATGTCGGATCACCGGCCCTGTCGGAATCAAAATAAGCGGTTAACTCAAGTAAGCCAGGAAAAATGGGAATACCGAATGATAAAGCTCCCTTGATGTAGTGAATAAGTCGTTTAAGTAGTTTGAAATCATCTCCAAGCGGTGGATGCATATGTTGGCAAAACTTGTTAACTGTGTACGCGATGTCAGGGCGAGTGATTATTAAGTATTGCAAAGAGCCAACCAGATGACGAAAGTGTTCAGCTTCAGCTGAAGCTAAGGGACAATCTGAAACCGAGAAGGTTTTAGACGGGATAGGAGATTCGATCGGTTTGCAATCTGACATGCCAACACGATTTAAAATGTCAGCATCATAGGTGGACTGTGATAAATGTAAGCCATCCGAAGTATCCATGATTTGCATACCCATAAAATATGAAATGGGACCCAAATTCTTCATATTAAATTAAACTAATAGGCCAAGTAAACGTTGTTTGATCGTTGGATCATGATTCCCAGTCAACAAGATATTGTCTACATACACAAGGATGTAGATAGTGATAGAGTTCTTGCAATATAATAACAGTGATGGATCAGTTGTACTGTGGGTGAAGCCATGGTTTAAAATATATGTTGAAAAAGTTTCAAACCACTTTCTAGGTGATTGCTTCAAACCATATATGAATTTTTGCAGCAAACAAGCATAATCAGGATATATAGGATCCACAAAGCCTTGAGGTTGGGTCATGAAAACTGTTTCAGCAAGTTTGCCATGAAGAAAGGCATTAGACACGTCAAGTTGAAGAATTCGCCACTTGGAAGTCACAACAACTTTAAGTAAAATTGGGATTTTAGAGAGTTTGGCCACCAGACTAAAAGTATCTTCATAATCTAAGCCATATTGCTGATAGCAACCTTGTGCAACAAGTCGAGCTTTATGCCGGGCAATAGAACCATCCAAATTTAACTTAGTTTTATAAATTCATTTACAACCCAAAACATGTTGATCAGGATGTGGAGGAACAAGCTTCCAAGTTCCTTGTTGTTGAAGAGCAGCAAATTCTTGAGACATAGGCTTTCTCCAAAAATTATTTTTGATCACTTGAGAATAACATGTAGGATCAAACAGAACATTACAATGACTCATACTGATAATGTGCCTTGGTTTCAAGTGACCCATTCTCAATCTTGTAAGCATAGGGTGATTAGTGATTTTAGGAATTGAAGTATTTATTTGAGAAGCAGATGAGTGATTTTCCTCAAGAGATGGGACAAATGAAGTTGAGAGATGTTCTATTGTAGTTGGGATAGAAGTGGACAGGTATGGGGTTGATAAATCTGGAAGAGTTGAGGTAACAGCAGGCATGGAAGAAGGAGATACTTGGACCATAGTTGGAACTAGAGTCAAGGGAGGAGTATAAGTAGATTCTTTAGAAGGAATGTTTTTCAGTTTTCTCAAGCTGATATGGAAAAATGTTTTCAACGAATTTAACATGTGAAGAGATGAAAAATTTTTCATAAGGAATGTGATAACAAATATATCCTTTTGTTGAGGAAGGATATCCAACAAATACACATGGAAGAGATTTCAGATGTAGTTTGAAGATGAAATTACTTGGTAGAAATGGATAACAAAGACAACCAAAAATTTGAAGTGAGCTATAATCCGGTTGTTTGTTATACATAATATGAAAATGAGAAGATATCTTATTTGAGATGGAGGGAAGAAGATCGATAAAATGTACCGTAGTTTGGACAGCATGCAACCAAAATTTTTTAGGAAGGTTAGCTTGAAATAATAGAGCACGGGCGATCTCCATAATATGCCGATGTTTCCGTTCAGCTAATCCATTTTACTCTGGGGTATAAGGGCATGTTTGTTGGTGGATAATTCCAGTTTTTGCAAGTAATAGTTGAAACTGTTTAGAGATATATTCTCCACCACCATCAGACTGAAAATATTTAATTTTAGCATCAAATTGGCGTTTAACTAGTTGTTGAAATTTAGCAAAAACCAACGACACATAAGATTTATCAAATAATGGAAATTATGCAAATCTGACAGTCCACTGAAGGAATCGGGCTGGTTACAACTCGAGACGAACCTCTGCCTCGAGTCAATATTGCACTGAAATGGCCGCGATAGCCACGTCCACGTGCTTGACCACGTTGAGCGTACATAGCAGGAATGACATCAGAAGCGGATGACAAATATAATTCTAGAACAGATTCAACAACGAGATTTAACTCTTCACTACACAGCAATGAGTAAAAATCATATAAACTTATAGGATTTAAATTCATCCGAACAGAAATTTTGAATCCATGATATTGGCTCGGTAATCCATTAAGAGTATAATAGATGATGTCCTCCAGTGGTAATGAAGAACTAGACGCTCCAATCGCATCTACTTTACTTTTAATTTTAGATAAATATTGCATAATATTCTTATCCTTCATTGTAATGTGATGAAGCTCATTTTTAAGTTGAAGGATGCATGATCTATTTGTAGATTGCAATCTCTGCTCTAAAGTCTCCCAAATCTCATAACAAAAGTTCGGATTTTGAACATAAGGGAGAAAAGTTTGAGAAATGGTAGAATAAAGCACTACAGCCAAGTTTTGATCCACAAGAAGCCAAGTGCAGTAATCACTATCTAACTGTAAATCATCTAATTCTAACGGTATCATTCGTGGAGGTTTAGGCGTGGAGCCATCCAAGTAACCATAAAAACCGTTTGCTGTAAAAAGTTTGAATATATGCGATTCCACAAAAGGGTAGTTATCAGTAGCGAGCTGAATGTTGAGAACCGATTTAACATTAGTCATAAGAAACTTCAACTGAGAGGGAATATGAGTGTCTGCCATTTTGACGATTTTGGTAGCATGAATGGAGGTAGAGGAGCTATTTGATGAGTCCATCTAGGTCGAGAGAAATCGACAAGAAGCGATCAAACAACAGTCGTTCAGAGAAAATGTGCAAAAAAATTCTACTCTGATACAATGTTGAAATCTACACTAGGTGTCAACCTGCATAAGAGAAAACAACAGAGGAAAATCGAAGGAAAGAAGGAGAAGAAGTTTCGTGAAATTCTTTTGTGCCTCATTCTCATTACTGTAGCTGTTTATATTTACATGTATCTCATGATTACCTAGTAAATTAAATGGACACATGGGTGGTCTAGATTTGACCGTTAATGATCAACGGTGAGAGGCAATTGCACGTTCAGGTCTAGCACCACTACAACACATGGCACGATGTAATGTAGTATTAGCATGTTTGTTTAATAAGTTCACCATATTCAAGTTAATAGATGGACAAATAGTTGTAATCAATGCTTATATAGTAGAATAATTTAGCTGGATCATAGCCCACAGCTTTCACCCATACTCTTTTCATTTATCTATTTATACACTAGTTTTTTCATACAAAGCTATATTTTAAGGATCTCTTACTCGATTGCGGCAAAATTATGATCCTCAACAATAATAATTATATTTTATTTATAATTTTGAGAATAACTTATTGAGTTTTATGATGAATCATGTTAAATTCTGAAAACTATTTGATAACTGATACATCACGCAAAAAATATCTTGATCGGGCACGAATCTTGAGGCAAAAGCTAGTTGGAAACTTCAAAAATTAAATTTGAAAGCTCCCGAACTCCGATTTCAGCGAGCTTATAGTAAAACTGAGCGTCTCGGAAATACGAACCCAACGACACCAAGATCAACCCAATCCAAGCCCAAATGAGTCCGAATCAAGGGCTCAAAGCGCTGTTGAAAGGTTAAAACCGCAATTTGAGTTACCAAACGGTCTCCGATTTTGACGAGCTTATACTCGAATCGAACGGCTCGACGAGACGAATCCAACGAGACTAAGATCGCCAAATTCCGACATCATTAAGGCTTTCAAATGCCCAACAAACGGTGCATGATCAAAGGATTCATATGCGGCCGGTCCATGGCAAAACACTCCCAATTCGCCTTTGATCTTCACGCCATTACGGGCTATAGCCACCAGAAAACTATAAATAGGCCTCATTCTACACGCAAAAGGGCTCAAGGGGAAGAGAGAGAACTAAGAAGGAAGAGAGAATAGATAGGAAGAAGAGAGAGAATAAGAAGGGGGAGAAGAAGAGGAAAGAGAAATGAGAACCCCTCCTCCTCGGACCACCGCCGGAGCTCTTCTTGCGCCCAGACACGCCGGACTCTGTGTGATATTCGAGTGAGAACGTAAGAATTCTTCTCAAACTTCCACTGATTATCTGAAATTTCCCAAGTATTGCAACAGTCCCTCTAACCGAAACTCCGCCGCAACGTGAAGCCGGGTTCTCTCTGCCACAACAACGCTTTGGACTTCTACTGGACGTTCGGACCTTCATCTTCTGCCAACGTTTACCTTTGATGGCCGACTTCCACCGATTATCGGACTTCGCTGGACACGTCGTATGCAAAGAATGGTAAAATTTTCCTTTTATCCTTTGTGCTGGACTAATTCCACATGACGTCGTCCTTCATGATCTTCGTCGTCATACAAAACAGTTTCTTCTCGACCTCCGTCAACCCGCCGTGCTACGGTCCTCTTGACTTACTATGTCGCCCGCCGACTACAGTCATTCCAACCGTATCAATGTCGCCCGTCTGACTAACTGGTCCTCTCTGACTTACGTCGCCACGTCGCAAAGCCTAACCGACTTCCGTCGCCCGCCGACCTATCCGGTTCTCATCCGACCAATAAGACGAACATTTGTCAATATATTGACTCTTAAGCTGTATCTAACCTACTCACTCGTCAATGTACTATTCAAAGAACATGTACATTCAACGAAGCTAACGCGACCTGTCTCGCCAAGGAAGGCGCCTACCATTTTAACAACTGCGATATACATACTAGTGGATTCATCAAACACAATGACTGGCGAGCTACCAGAATGGCCCCGTGGTTTTTTCCCCTTTTAGGTTTCACGTAAAAATCTTGGTTGTCTCAATAAATGCTAGACCTCTCTCTGATCTGATTGCGTGCCGGATTTGCGGTACAATACGCTAAGACGATAAACTTTATATTCTCTACGCCGCGAATATCCTGGACGCGACAATAAACCTTTATGAGAAATCATGTTTAAATAGTAGGTTGCAACTGCTTTGCTTTCAATTTACATATTTATAAAATACGATTAAAGAGATCTTGACATGCATCTTATTAGAAATTAAAATAAACAAAGAAGATTCAAATAAAAAATAAACAAAGTTTCGATTAGTAAATACAACAATAACAAAATAAGATTAGTTTACTTCATTTTAAATAACTTTCTACTTAATTAATATTAATAGTTTTTAGAATTATCTAATTTGTAGAGAGTAATGCAAATAATTTTAAAAACCCATTGCCTCAAAATAAACTATTTAAAACATAATATTAATCAACAAATGAATTATTTATTAATTAATATTTTTGAGTTAAATTAACTTCATATCATCTATTTAGATAAATAAAAATAATATCACTTCCAGCTAATAATTTTTTTTTATCAAATTAAATAAAATTAAATTAACATAATAAATATATTTATTAATCTATTAATTAGTTAATTAATAAAATAATAATTTCCATTTAATAAATATAAATAATATAATTTATACATTGAATTAATATATGAATTTAATAATGATTATTATTATTAAGATTAGTTTACCCCTTTTAAATAATTCTTCTATAATTGCTTCTTCTCTGTGTAGGCCTAGGCTACGGTTTGCTTTCTTGTATTTCTTCATTGCTGTTCCTCTTCGGCTCCTTCGTCGCTGTTCGGCTTCGCTCCTCCGGAGAAATTATTTTGTGCGGAATCAGTTATAGAGCTGTGTTAGGATGCCAATAAAATCAGTACACATGGCATGCTTACGTGGAAAGTTAGGATATTCATTTGACTTCTTACCCGACCCATTTATCTTTTCGGACTTACTGCAGACGAAGAGAAATCCGCAACAAATAAGTAATAAATAAACAAAAAATGTGTAATATATATACAACAAATACTCAATAAATACGCAACAAATATATAATAAAATATTTAATTAATATGCACATTTTATCCGATGAATACACTCAAGTTAAATAAATATGGCAGAATTTTAACTTTTCAGCAAGCGTCGAATAATTTCTAGCTCCCTTCTTCGGCCAAATCCCGTAAATCCGCTGAATCAAGGATTTCGGAAATCCGGGATTTACCACGAAAAAGGGGCAATTTTCGGTCTAGGGCTGCTTTCATTTACCGTGAGATTTGGTTTTGCATTTTAGGCCGTTTGGCTGGATTTCGCTCAAATCCGGCATAAATCCTGCTACCAAACAGCCCCCGAGTGTCGCTACATCCGGACTCCGCCCAGAATAATTTCTCGCGGGGGCTGAAAGATAGCAAAAGAAGCCGAAGCGAAGTCCATTCAGGTCTTTCCTCACCCAGCTTTCATTCCAGACTTTCCAGTGCAACCTAGGGCCGCGTTTCACGCCGCTGCCACTGACACACGCCGTTGCCGAGACACCAATTCATCGTCGCTTCTACTCCTCACGTGCATCCTCACACGCCTCTCTCCGATCATTGGATAGAGCTAGTCCTCTACTTCGCAACAATCATGTCGCCAAGTTTCAAAGCATTGGCTAGATGAGTGGCCCGCGCTTACGGCCAGACCATCGCGATTTTCTGTCTTCCTTCCATTATAACGGCGATGGCTGCGTCTAAGTGGGCTCTGATACGCCCCTTCTTTTTGATCCTCACCCTCCATTCCTTGGCCATCTACCTTTTTACCCGCGGTTTCCTCCTAACCCGAACCGAGCTCTCCTCATTCAGCCATTGCTCCGATAAGTACCAATCTCCATGTTCGATTCCCTCTCCTACATATAATGCTAATGCATCCTTTTTTGGTGATCGTCCGTCCAAATCCGGAAGCAACGGTCAATGCTGGACCAGGCCCGCTGTGGACCGCCTCGTCATCATCATCCTCGACGCCCTCAGGTATTCTATTTCTCATTGCAAACACTTTTGTTTGTAAAATGTACACCCAAAACTACTCTGCAAGAGGCCTGGTTGATTGAAAATTTGTAGGTGTTATGACGGTGAGTAATTCTTTTTATGGCGTTTTCTTATGATTTTAGGTTCGATTTTGTGGCGCCGAGTTTTTTCTTTGAAGGTATGTATTCCTTTTCTCTTGCTGTGATCATTGTCTTTGCCTCGCGCCATTTCGCAGATAAGTAGCTAGGTGGATCACCGGCGAGTTTTTAGTTTTGATGGAAGATTATTGGTTATTTTTACCAGAGAAGAAGCCTTGGATGGACAAGCTAGAAGTACTGCAAAAGCTGGCATCAGACGAGGGAATGAGTTCAAGAATTTTTAAGGCAATTGCTGATCCACCAACCACTAGTTTGCAACGCCTCAAGGTGAAGTTCATTTTAGTCCGACTAAACCAAAGGGGATATATTTCTTTTTAAAACAGTTTACGTTGCAAAATCTTACATTTCAATATTTCATACTAATCGACGTCTAATCTCAAAGAAAAATATCTAAATCTAAACAATTTGTTGAGGTGTAAAAGCTCGAACTTATTATGGGATAAAAGTACAAAGAAACACTGAAATCTTCTCACTGTTACTCAGCCACCAACAAATTGTTACACAACCACATGCAACATACTTAAAATTATCACTTAGAAATATTGCTCACAGATCCAAACACACACCTTATAACACTTCCTTACTGGCATAGTTCTAACTTCTCTCTATCTTCGGCACCACAAAGAATGAGAAGGAACACACCTATTTGTTTCATCATCCTTTCCAAGAGGAAGGAGAAGGCTTAAATAGCCAATTACATGAAGGAAACATAAAAGACATAATTGCCCCTAGGGCCAACATAAAGCAAAGCCCTCAAGTGAGGGTAGAAATGGAAAAGTACAAATAACAAATAAAATACATAAATAGACACGATCGTAACCGTTGATCTTCGATGTCCTCATCAGGAACACACCTATTTGTTTGTGCAGTATACATGTTAATGGAAAAAAAAAAAACCAAATGTACATCTAACAAAATGTCAGTGAGAATGTTAAATTCCTAATCCATTAACTGGATTGATACATTATGGTTAACTAAACCATTAGGTCGAGAATGAGTATTTGAGGAGAGCGAATGAACATGTAATGAAATAAATGTAGGATTACTGCTGCTTAACTTGCATATGGTTGATTGCTAAAATACAAGTAACACGCTCACAAATATATGACCCATCTCACCATTTATTGTGTTGCAGTTGATGCTGAAGTTATATTTTTTGTTAGGAATGAGATCGGAGCATGTGTTAAGGTAAAAATGCATGTTTCTCTTTTAAGTGTGTTATGAAGGGGTGATTTGGGATTGTGGATTGTGTTGAAATTAATTTCAATTATTGAAAACATTACAAGTGTCTTAGATTAAATCTTTTGATAGACGAGACATCAATTAAAATAAATGAAAAGTTAGAATAATAGGAAAAATAATTAGAAGATAAATTTTTTGGCATTATTAGAAGAAATATGGTATATGGCCATATCCATTTATACCCAACCTTCTACAATAATTACATTTCTCATCAGCTCTCTCGTGGTGGCATGTGGCCACTATAACTAATAAATGTAATAGCTTAAGGAATAAAAAAATAAATACCCGTCCAAGTAGTCATATAGCATTACTTATTTTATCACTCACACATCCACCCACTCCTTAATCTACTCACCACTCCTTAATCTTTGCCCATTTGGTCATTCATCATCCACATTGGCTGAGTTCTTTTCTTGATTGAACATTGAGGCTCTCAAATTGGCTCTTCGATCTTGTTGCCATATGGCTTATTGTACTACTTTGTTGCATTGGCTGGTTTCATAACAATTCCCATTTGTGGTGGGAAGAACGGCCTTGCCCTCAAGGTCGAGGTGTGTATATGTAGCTTGCACTTCATCATTAGTAATCCAAGAAGCCTTTTCAGGTGTTACGCCTTCCCATTGCATGAGGTGCTATTGTTGATTGCGATTGTCATAAAGAGGGAGGTGTGATTGAAGAATATGCGTTGGTCGCAAAATTGGATGCTCAATCCATGATTCATGCGGAAGAGGTGTGGCATTTAGAGTGGTGTTCTCCTTGTAGGGTTTTAAGAGTGAAATATGAAAAAGGGTGGATTTTGGCATGAAAATGTATATCAAGTTTTTATGCAACTTGCCCAATACGTTCCAACACCATGAATGGACCAAATTATTGATGACTCAATCTAGTATATTGTTCATGCTTGAGATAGTTCCACTAGTTCAAATATAATTTAATGAGAAATAGATTGCCTAACTGCTACTTGATGTTCTAACAATTTTTGTTGGATTTCTCCTTCATGTAATGTTAAGCATGGGTGCCAGGTGTGGTTGTTGTGGAGATTACACATGATGAGGTCTTGTTCCTATGGCCATTCACGGACATTGTGGGGCTTTGTAGTGCTGCTAAAAAATGGTTGCATGGGTGACGAAATCCTTCTACATAGAGCTGGGTAATGAGTCGCGCCAATAGAAGAATGGAGAGAGGCATAGTAGGAAAATTTTGCAATGGTATAAAATTTCGACATCTTTGGATGATGTGCTATACCAAACTGCAGTTTGTTATCGAGCTCTTTTAATGGAGTTTGCCACATAGTGCTCATAAAAAATGCTATGAAAGTTGAATACATATGTTTTGGAATTCCACGGTGCGAACAAATTTTGCAAATGAATATGGAGGCGACATTAGGGGCAGGTGACTGCATTTTCATTGTAGTGAAATGTGCATATTTGGTTAGGAAATCTACAAACATCGTTATTGTAGTTTTTCCTTGAGCCAGGGGAAGTGAACGATAAAATCCATGGTGATATCATTCTGATGGGGACATCAGCTCATGGAAGGTTTATTAGAGGCGTGGCCGCCGATCTATGGCCACGATCGAGTCTTTGTACTTTTGAGTTATTTTCTTATTTATGTATTTTCTATTTCAGTGTTATGTTTTATTTTCCAGTTATACCCTTTTAATGGGTGATGTCGTATGTAAGCCCGGAGGGCAATTGTGTCTTTTATTTTCTTGCTTCTCTTGTATTAGGCTATATATAACCCTTTGTTCTATTTTCAAGTTAATGAATGATTATGAGAAAATTTTCCTGCACTTGTTTTCTTGGAGCTTTTGAGAGAGCTTGAGAGAGAGAGTTAGAGAGCTTGGTGGAGCCTAGGATAGGCCACCCGTCGTACCCAACAGTCACCACCGGTGGCTCTTGGTTCTCCTCCCTTTCCCTTACTACCACCGGCCACCTTTCTTCCCCTCACCCGAGGCCCTTCCTCCCCTCACAACCTCACGGTCAAAGCCCCCCACCCGAACCCCTTCCTCCCCTCTCAACCCCACGGCCAAAGCCCTTACCTGAGCCCTTGCCGCCGGCCATATCTCCCTAGCCGCCGGCCTCCCTTGGAGCCCCCTTTCTCCCCTTTTTTCCTTATTTCCTCTTATGGATTGAGTATAATTGGGACTAATTTTGAACTCAAATCCAAGTGATTTGAAATTCAAAATATTTCCTAAAATACAAAATCTATTTTAGGAAAGTCTTAAAAACTCATTCAAATCAATTTACAATTGACTGGAGTTTTAATTGACCTTCCTAATTTATGGATCTCAAGTTGGCATGCAATAATTAATTGCTCAAACCCCTTTTCCCCCCATCAATGCCGCCGGTCCCCCCTCTTAGATTTGGGATAGGAAATATTTCCTAAACCCAAACTTCCCCTTTGGAATAAATTCAACATTTCCCAATCCCCTAGCAGCCAAATTTTTTAAAAAGGGACAAACCTTTAATACTTTCCTAAATCCTCACATTGGGATTAGGAAATAAATCTCCCTCCCCACTCCACATACCGCCGGCACCCCTTATTGGGTTTCTTTTGAAATCCCTCCATAAGTGCATCATCTCCCTTTGGAAAAGATTTCAAACTCTTCTCTGCTGCTGGCCGAAATTTCCCAAGGCTTCTTCCTTGGGTTTTCTCTCCTAAATTCCTCTCCACTATTTACAAAACCTGAAACTTATTTTAGATTTTGGTCTTAGCTCTTCCCCCTTTCAAATTGCAAGAAGAACTTCTTCCTCTTCGACTATCTTCAAGTGCACCATCAAGTTGGAAGAGTTTTGCCACCGAGCTCCATGAATGGCGGATCCGGAGACTGACTATGGAATAACGTGGGATGAGGACGGCTTCACCAACATCCTACAATCTACCTTCTTCGACCTGAATCCAAGGATTGATCACACCGTCCAGAACTACTTGGAGTGTATTCTGGACACCTTAGTGGAAACAATTGACGAGCACTTTGAAGGCGTCGAGTGGAGGATCTCCACCACTCCTTTACGAAGGTTTCTCTCTCCTTTCATTATATTTCCTAAATCTAACTTTTCTTGGAATTGATGACAGTCATGAAGGACGACTCCTTGCTGCTCATGCTGAGCTTAGTAAATGTAGGGCTTGAGTGCACCTTTATGCTTATTAACTCTCGTTGTTAGATTAGGGATTTTCGTTGAAATTACTATTTGTCATTGTGTTATTTTCTCATTTTATTTTGAAATATTCAAATATCTTGCTACGTAATTTAGCCTAAGCGGGTGTGACCCCTTCTTTGTTTTGATTCGTCGTTTTGAACTGCTATTAGTCGTGTTTTCAATTATTCTAATCAAGAGTTGTGCAAATTTCATATGAATTAACTGCATTCACACTTAGTCGTGCATCAATGTGTGCTCTTATTAATGACTTGATTGCCCAAAGTCACAACCCCTTAATTAGATCTATTATTATCAAAATTACACTCTATATATTCAATTTTAGATCTACTCAAACGAAAATTTTTAGACTCTAAGGTTGACCTCCCTAATTCTAGTTTACCTTCAACTCCCTGTCTATTCTTATCAACAAGAAGAATATTATTAGCAAAAAGCATACATCAGGTACAACCTCTTGCAAATGTCTATCAAGAACATCCATAACTAAAGCAAAAAGATATGGGCTTAAGGCTAATCTTTGATGTAATCCAACTGATATAGAAAAATACTTAGTCAAACTACCTTGTGTTTGAACACAAGCAACATCTCTGCATGCATATCCTTAATGACTTGACTGTAAGCATTAATGCATTATTAACTCCTTTCTTGTCTAGAATTCTCCATAGCATTTATCTTGGGGATATGCTTTCTCTAAATCAATAAATATCATATGTAGATCCTCCTTATTCTCACCAGTTGCAATATTGTAACTGTTGGTGTGATCTTACTGCTGCTGAACAAGGCTATCCCGTGTTTCGTTAGTTGGTATCAACTAATGGAGTGGAGATTAGTAAGGCATACAAGATTTGGGTGCTTCAGTTAATATGAAACATTTGGGTATTAGGTGAGTACTTTGGATAGATTTGGATGGTGTATATCCGAGTACTTATCCCAAATAATTATTGTTTAATGCCGTTGATGCCCTTCTCATTATTTGTGTCCCTGAATTTTCATTGTAGATAATGTAATAAACATTTCCCCTTTGGATAGCTTTTACTAGCAAAATTTTGTATTTTCTGTGAGTAATTTATGCAATGAGATTGGTTATCTGTTTCTATTTTTTACTTTTAATGTCAGTTTATTTATATTTTTCTATGTTTTCTTCGGCTGTTTCTGACGCTGCAAGCGCATGCTTAATCTTTTGGCTTGTGCTTGTTGTCATTTACAGCCACTGAATGCTGTAATTTTATCCTCGACATTATTATAGGGATTAACGACCGGTGGACTTCCTACATTTATTGATGTCGGGAATAGTTTTGGAGCTCCTGCTATTGTTGAAGATAATTTGATATTCCAGGTTTGTTGTAGCAAGTTGCCTCGGTTTTTCCTTAATGAAAGTGAAGACTAATATATTCTACTTTTGTCTTGATTGGGCTGTTTAACTCCATCATTTCCTTCACATTAATTTTTTTTAATATTCATTCCTGCAAATACAGTTGGCTAACAATGGAAAAAGAGTGCTGATGATGGGCGATGATACTTGGGTGAAGTTATTTCCTCATCATTTCAATGAGTCATATCCTTACCCTTCATTTAATGTTAAAGATCTTGATACAGTACGTGTTTTTCCTTCAACTTTGAACTAATGTATTGAGTTTCAATTTGATGGTTGTTCTTCATTTACTTAACTTTTTTATTTTAGTTTTTTTTTTTTTATAACTTTTCTGCACTTGATGATTGCAATTTCATGTGTTAGGTAGATAACGGTGTCATCGAACACTTGCTGCCTTCATTGCTTAGAGATGATTGGGACGTTCTTATTGCACACTTTCTAGGCGTTGTAAGTTAATGTTTGTGATTCTCAGGATTTCTTTTGCCAGTTCCCTTTGATTTTTTAGCTCCTTCATATTTAATTGCGTCTTACTGTCTCTTATGTGTGGTAAATTGTGATGTGAATGCTAATCCTCCATTTGTCATTATTTCTACACATTATTTTGAGAGATAGCTTTAAGGAAAATTATAATTATACCAGCTTTTTGGGGCCAACTTTATGAATCCCCTTGATTCATCCACTTAAGGCTAACTTTAGTTTATTCTAAGTTTTTCTACAACAACTACCCATATTATATTTGGCGGTCACATGTTATTACTGCATTTCAAGTTTTTGGCTGTACATATCCAAATCATCTAAATTTGTTTTACACATCTTATATTGCATAAGTATTACTCTCATCATCTTTCTGGAATAGTAATTTTTTTAATTTTTTTTTAGTTCTATCACTCATCCTTTTAGCATTCTCATTTTTACTCCACTTAACTTAGTTTTTAATAATTTATTGCCCAACGCGAAGGATTCGTTTGATATAAATTTTTTCTTCTTAACTTTCAGAATTTTGGTCATCATATTGGAAAAGTACTTAAAAAATTTCATCATATTAGAAATGTGGTGCTGCCTGAGCCCTGCTTTTATTGAGTGATTGAGCTTGAGTATGAAATCACGCCAGTACATGAAGCTAAGCCTCAGTTGAACTCACTTTTTGATATTGTTCTCCTATATCCTAAGATAGAAATATAAAATGTTGCAGAGATTTAGTTAGTGCCTTTAGTCACTATTAATTTTCATCGACATCTTGTGATTGGGATACAAGATGTTCCATAGATTTCCGTGCTACTGTGTGGTCCATGATTAGATATTCTGGTTGAGTATATGCCACCATCATTTCCATCACCTTCCTACATGTGATCCTTGCTCATATTGCTGATCAGATGGAGTTGCATGATGAATTGTGGCATCCAGAGCTATCGCTTCTATATGTGTAGAAGCTACCTTTTGTTGACTAAAAAAAAAAGAAAAGAAAAGGGGGGAAATAAAAATAAATTTTTTTTTTTTGCGCAATTGCTATTTCAAATTAAATAGACGCATCGCTTTGGAAAACGACGCGTTCCTTTGGCAAATCAATCGATAAAAAAAAAGAAACTAAGGAAAGTCCGTTCACACTTTTATAGTTGGCATTTTAATCATTCTCCTTCGTTCTTTTGTGAGAAGTCCACACAATCGGCCTTCTACTCTTACAGCTCGTTCCAAACCTTCGGTCAGAGTCTGATCTCGCAGCACTCAACTCGACTGCAATTTTCAACCCGCGATTCCGCCTCTTGTGTATTTCTCTTGTTCTTGCGTGACCCGACTCCCTCGTGGCAGTCCGACCTCATGATTGGTTCCACCTTCGTCTGGTCACACCTAGCGTAGGAACAAGTCGAACTTTGCTCCGTATGCACTTGCCTGACCCAAACACGCCAATCGACCTTCGCTCTAGGCTCGTTCCTTGCCTTTACCTTGTGCGAATCTGACCGAATTCCTCCTGACCACCCAACTGCACGCCGACTCCGCTGCATCCCTTGTGTGCGACCCGCAATCTCGCCTTTGCCTTGCCTGCAATCGGACAACAGACCTCCACTACGGTCCCTGCACCAACTTGCCTCCACTTCTGCTTCTACACGTGAACAAGCTTGCCCAATTCCTCTGCTTTCACGCCTAGTGCAATCTCATGTATAACCCATTTGCTTATTATACGTAAGTATATGAAAAATTTAGTTGTCTGTTTCTACTGGAGTGTTATCTCGTTGCCTATGTAACAGCTCTTGAACCGAAAGTTTAGCAGAGATGTTTGTGTATAAAAAAGAAGAAGAAAAAGAAAAAGATTTATAATAATAATATAACAAGGAAGCATATTTTCGATTTCAAAGATCATATGCCATCAATCTTAGATCAGGCTAGAAATGCGCAAAACGAAGACCTTGTGCTGTCGATCTTAGATTCAGCCGGGATATTTTTGAATTCAAGACCCCACACCGTCGATTTTAAATTTGGACGGGATGATTTCAAAGCGAAGCCCTTGCATCGTCGATCTTAGATCATGCTAGGAAAAAATCAACGACATATGTCATCCTAAACTCCGCGTAAGGGGAGGTGATGCCGGGAGACTGCTGAAATCGCTCCAAGAGACTACTATTTTTTTTTAAATTGCGGAGCGATTAATTTTGAACTTAAATTGCTTAATTCAATTAATTAATTGAAATTCAAGAATTATTAATTTGAAATTAAATATTGAGTAATTCAATTAAGTATTTAATTGAAATGAAATCAATTAATTAAAATAATTAGTTAATTGAAATTAATTAACTAAAATAATACTAAACAGTTATTTAAAAGATACCTATTCAAAGACATTTAAGATATATTGATACCAAAATTACTCGAAATTCAATATCAAATTTGATGAAAATATTTTTGATACTTTCTATATGTGAGAGAATATAGGGAAAATTTGTATGTTTACCTTTTTGGACCAAAATTTTGGGTATTATACTAAACACCAAACATTGAAACTAAACTCTCCAAAACTCAAACAAAACTCCAAAACACCCTGACCGCTACGCAGGCTTGAAGCTCTCCAATGCTCATGGGCAAACTCCAAAGCAACATGAATTTCATCAAATGAATAAGAAGACAAAAATTAGTATTGAAAACTAAATTGTAGTTCAGGAAAAGAAGAGGCTAAGAGCACTGTAAACAAAACTGCAGTGCAAGAAAGCCAAGTATTGCAAAACACACTAAAAATGAGAACTCTACTGAAGTAGGAAAATGGACCGCTGAACCAAAAAAACACTAGCGTCGGGTGTCGGGCTAGTGAACAACTGAAAATTATAGTCTAGTGTTAGACTAATAAACTACTGTAAAACAAAGTACCTGCAGCCCAATTTACTCTAAACAAAAGTTACAGGATACTTCCAAAGTGAAGCAGTAAGTCCTGCAAACAAACATACCACTTCTAAACACAAAAGTTGTTAGACCTATCCAAAATAGACAGGTGTTTTTCAAAGGAAGTTGTAAGATCTTCTATTCGAGCTACTTTCAATGAAAGTTGTAAGACCCACTTCTAAAACCTATGTGCTACTTTCAATGAAAATTGTAAGACCCACTTCTAAAACCTACATGCTACTTTCAATGAAAGCGGTAATACCCAATTCTAAAACCTATGGGCTATTTTCAATGAAAGCCGTAAGACTCACTTCTAAAACAATCAAGCTATTTCCAACCAAAGCTGTAAGTCCCGAACCAATTCAAACAAATGGGTAACTTCTAAACAAAGTCACAAATCCCAAACTAAATCAATTACTTGGTATTCTAGCAGATGTAAACCCCAAACTTCCATAAAATTATAACCCACCCATAATCACTTCAGGTTACTCGGGATCCCTGAGAGGAGGCAACACATGACTGTTAATCAGGTTCTCCGGACATTACGATCAACAATCGTTAATGTTGGTAAATTGAAACCCACGGTATACCCGGGATGATGGAACCATGAGATCTTGATTGGGTTTACCTCCATTTCTCCCACAACTGAGACTAAAATTCCAAAAAATATTTATCCTTAATCAAGAATGCTCTCTTATGTAGTGAGAGGGGTAATTAACTATGAGGGTTTGCACTCATTGGAAGGACCCAGATGTAACTAAATCCCGATGCTTCTCTCAGGAGAAATATGGTTAACTAGAATCTACCTTAAGGAAAATAGAATCCTATGTATGCATAACGGGATTCATGTCGAAGCATCATTTTTTCTTGAGCCAACACCTTTGTGTTGCCTTATAATAGATAGAAGGCCCATGAGCTAGTTCCATTTCCAACATAACCATCATTGCCACCTAACTCTTTAGAGAACAATTGCTTTCGGCCTTGTTGGATTGTAGTACAAGTATAGTGCAGCATCAACATAAACTTAACTTTGTTATTCAATTCATCTTCAGGCTAACTTCAATTTTGTTGCTAGATTAGATTCAAATCTGATTTGTTGAATTTTATTTTATTTATAATAAAATGTATCGGAAAGCTTGCTTAATTGAGAAGGATCTACCATAATGACTCATATGAAGAAATCCCGCTTGATTTCGTTCCTTATTATTTTATTTCCATGTGGCTTCTAAATGCCTCTTTGTAAATATGGATATAGGTAAGGGTTTGTGATATGCACATGATATTAAAGAATTGATTGCTTAAATAGTCATATTTGCTTCTCTAACCCATTTTAGATTGTTTATCCTATTTTTCTCTTCTTCTTGTGATTTATTTACCATTGTTTCCTCTCTTCCTCTCCTCGGTTTGCGCATATATTCTCTCTTAGCTATGGTGCATCTATATAAATACTAGGACACAAACGTGATATTATATAGAAATGGGACAATTGTACTAGTGAATATATTGGACACAAATGTATATTGGATATGCCATTTACACAAATCAAATAAACATGGCATGCAATTCAATTCATATAGTGATAAGTTTTACTCTTTATGTAGGAAAGAGGAATCTAAACTAATTTATTGTAAAAACTCAATTTTCAGTTCTCTTTCAAAATAAAGAGCTTCTTATTAGTTTTGTGCCTTCTGCAACTCTGCTATTTTTATCATCACTAGTTCTCTTTGCGCACATCACATATGCCTGATGTTTGTGTGTCCTTATTTATTTGTCTTAGTTTTGTAATGTGATATGTAGAATGTGTGTTAGATGCGAGTGTCTTGCATTTGTCAAACATAACATTATTTAATATTATGAAGTGTCGATGCATGTGTGTTAGATGCATGTGTCTTGCATGTGTCAAACATAGCATTATTCCATATTATGAAGTGTCGATGCATAATAATCCCTGACTAACCCATATAACTAGAAACTACTGTTGCAACTCCATAAAAATGCCCTATTCCTGTAATTTTAATAAAATTTAGTGTTTATAGGCGCAATGAGTATCTCATAGTTGAATTTTTAGGGTGATTTTTCTTGATACTACAGAGGACAACTTAAACTGATTCAACATGCAGTGATGTCTGTTGTTTTTTGGGATGACGTGAATATGATGTCAAATTATATTTGTTTGAAAGTTTAACTTATAAATACAAAACCTATTGGAAAACAAAATCCAATATTAAGTACATATATTCTTGGAGATAAAGTAAAATAGGATAGTAAAGAGAAAATATCAAAGAGATGAATGTGATTGTGTTAGCCAAACTAGCATATTGATTGAATATGCTAGTTTTTTTAAAAAAACGATATATAAGACTAATGGAGGAGAATGACTTTACAAAAATAAAATCACAAGTGTGATAACTTAAAATGATAGAAGCAGTATAAAGAAAGTATCTTTTATAGTGATCATAGATTTGTAGGTATTTTCTATTCTCAATACATAATAATTACAGTTTGTAAGTATACATCTTTATTACTTGATATAAAATGATTATTGAGCTTGGCTTAATTATCTCTATCCATTAGAGTGCTTATTGGCTCCTATGATAGTTCCATGCTTTTGGTATTATGAAATATACGTTGCTTTGGAAGTTTCATTTTACATACTGAACGCATCTTCAAATTTTCTTGTTGGAGCTATTATATCACTACTTTATTTGCACTAGGATCACGCAGGACATATATATGGTGTTGATTCAACTCCTATGATAGCAAAGTTGGAACAATACAACAATATTCTAGAGGTAATTTTTCTTGACATTTCATGTTTCAAAATTATTACATGTTTGATCCAAATGCTTACACATTGCACTTCCTGCAATACTATACCTAACTTAGTCCTGCACCGCATATGAATTTCCCGCCCCTACACACACATACACTACTGGACAACCACATGCCATGCAAAGATTGTTATCTATTCACGACAGTTTTATTTTTTAGTTTTTACTTTAACGTTGATTCCTTTTGAAGGGCTATTGTTTTACAGGAAGTTGTTCAGGTTTTGAAGAACCAGTCTGGATCTGGTGGTCTTCATGAGAATACTCTCCTTGTAGTGATGGGGGACCACGGTCAAACATTAAATGGTGATCATGGTGGTGGCACTGCTGAAGAGGTCAGACACTAATTTTTACTTCTCAGAGTTCATTGGTTTCTTGGGGCTTAAATCATAGCATAATTTATACAGGTTGAAACATCACTTTTTGCCATGAGCTTGAGGAATCCTCCTGCTCCAGTTGCTACTGTTCTTGATAAAAACTATTGCCAGCTAGATTTGGTATGCTTTTGTCCTAGTTAAAACTTATTCTTATAGATAGTATGTTTTTATTTCTTAATTGGCATTTTCAATTAATTAAATGCTTTATGTGCATATTGGTTAAACCGTATATTTTTTCATAGATTTTTTTGGTATTTCACACACACACACAAACACACACACACACACACACACACACACACACACATATATATATGGCATGTTTGATTGATATGCTATAAAGTTTATAAAGTTCTACAGGTCCATCATTTCATCTTAAAAATTTTAAACTGGATGTCATTGTTTTTTTTTTTATTAAAAATGTAATTTAAAAACTTTCTAAACAGTCATTGTTGTCATATCAACCTGCAATAAGATCTGGCTTATTATTATTATTTTAATAAAATTGAGGCTGCTACTAGTGATCGTAATATCTCCAAGAAGGTTCACGAGTTCCTCATCATTTTTAATGTTAAGCTGGACATGGTGTGGCAATATTCGACCCTTCTTGTTGCGAATCGTTGTATTGTCAGTTTGCTCAAGAACCTCTAAGGAGAATAGAGAAAGAGATGAAGCCTTTGTGCTCCTCAATAACTTAGCCTTTGGAATACGATTCTTTTCCCTTTCTTGCCATTTTACAAAATCTTTAGCCGAGAGAGAGCGATGGGGGAGAAAGAGGGGGTAGCTATTTGGTCTAGAGAAAGAGAAGCACCGCTGCAAGAAGCGGGAGATGTAATTTTTTTTTTCATGTGTGGTTGTTTCACTGGAAGATTACTCATGCTTTACCACGATGCTTTTGGTTTTCTTGCTTATTTTGTTTAATATTGCAAAATTGCAGGATGGAAAGAAAATATGCATTGGTACATTCCAGCAGGTTAGTTACTTGTTTATTTTCTAGATGATATTGAGCTAATTTGATTTTCGTGTACGATTTGATCCCCTTTGCACATTTGTTCCCGCAGTTGGATTTTGCTGTTACAATGGCATCACTCCTTGGTATTCCTTTTCCTTTTGGAAGGTGCGCGAGTGACGTTCTCTGAAGTTCTCTTTTAGTAGTAACAAAATGAAAACCTTAGAGAGAAACCATTGTAATTTTTAGCTAGATAAATGGTTTTTGGATGCAATACGTTTTTCTAAGTTAAGATAATTATATTTCTTGATAATTTTCTTATATATTCTTAATACATTGGATATTTGGTAATTCGTTTACACACGTTTCATATGTATTTATTCAGACTTCCTTTTTTGTTAAGATCACTAGCTGCATGCATTTGTGATGACTGATGACATCTAGTTACATACACATCACACCTAAATCTGTTTTATCTGGATCAAGCAGGTCCTAAATATGGAAACGAAATTAGTAGAAGCTATAGCAAATGTCACCTACATACACGTTCAGCTGAGTGGATCCTTTTTTTTTCTTAAGTTAACATTATGACTTACATCGACCTATACATTGTGCGCATCCTCACGCATGCATGCAGACATGTTTATTGTGGTGTGCGCTACACCGATCGCAAAGGTTAAAGCATAGGTGCTATTAGTTGATTTTAACCACTATAGTTTAGTAAAAAACCACGAACTGAAACCATGCCTATGCCATTTGTAATTGACATATAGATGAAAATTCTGAAGTAAATAAGAAGTGAGAATAATGGAGGTAAACTTTGTAAGGTAAGGCATAAGGTGTTTATTAGTAAAACAAGGTTGAGTGCATGGTTGGCGTTTTAGTTGGCAGAAAAATTCAATAAAGTGATGGAAAAACAAGTGATATATAAGTTTGATATGTTTAAATATTTGGGATTTATTATACAAATGAATTGGATGTAGATGTGGATATATCTAGTGCACTCAAAGCTAAATCTTTCAATTACAAATGAGCATTTGGGTTATAGTGAGAGAATATGATTAATGCATGGGAAAATTTTACAAGACAACTATTGAACCTGCAATATTGTATTGATTCGAGTCTTGGGTGACAAAAAGTTTCTAAGAATAAGTTGGGCGTGACAAAGACATAAATGTGAAGATGGATTTAGTAAAGCACTACAGGAAAACCAGCTATTTGCGGCAGAAAAATCCAAGAAATTTGGTTTTGCGGCAGATTTGCGACGTTTCGATGGTAAAACGGGCGTCACAAACATATTTGCGACGAATAAAGACCGCTTGCAACGAATTTGTGACGTAATAATCTTTTAAATGAAATGACGATTTCGTTTTTGTGGTATGCCGCAGATTCGGTCACAAACGTTGATAACACAACGTTGTATCAACATTGCAAAAAAAGTTACTGCAATCATTATTTGGGATTTCTAACATTCACAATTCAAGAAGTTATAAAAAACAGTTATGCAAAGCAAATATAATCAAAGAATACTATGCAAATTGTGCAAATTAATGAACAAACAACTATTTCAACAAAAGTTATAATACTGTTACAGTTTCAACATAACTTATACATCAAATGACATCAAATGTATCAAAAGTCATCTTAGGCGACAATCTAATCGGAATCTGTATGCTTGCTGTCCTGCTTGACTGATGGAGGCGCCGGTTGAGATCTACTAATCCGCTTACTCAATCTTCTAAGCTCCTCCAATATTGAGTGTTCATGTCCGCTTGAGTTTTTCAGATATTTTCTAACTTTGCTGCTAAGTTAGCCACATGCTGGCTAACTAAACTCTCATGTCTGCTTGTTGAGTGGCTTGTGGCAGAAGAGGACTACCCCTCGTATATGGAGGCTTGCGAGCCTAATACATAAATTCACCATTTTTGCATTCTGCCTACTGCCTGCGTCTAGGGATGTCAACTTTCGACTCGACCTGAAACCCTACCGGACCCGACCCGAAAAAACCGAGTTTGGGTCAACTCGTTTGCGAAATGGGTCGGGTCCGGGTTCGGATTTTTTGACCTGTTTGAAAAATGGGTCGGGTTCGGGTTGACCCGACAATCCACAGGTCAACCCGAATTGACCCGTTTCGCAAACCCGCTGCCAAGGTTGCATCCCGTCAACTCGTCAGGTCGCGTCCGCATCATGTGGTGAAGTCGCCTCCGCGTCAAGTCGCGTCGTCGCGGGTGCCCAGCCCGGCGAGCCCGCACAGCCACGGAGCAGCGGATCCCGCGTCTAGCCGGACCAGCCCGCACTTGGCGCCTTGGCGGATCCCGCGTCTAGCCGGACTAGACGACCAACCCTCACTCGGCACCTCGGCGGATCCCGCGCTCAGCCCACACCAGCTCTGCTCTGCAGGCGCGACTTGGACTCCGCCACTGCCGCTCGCAGGTGCGCTCGTGTTCCCGCACAGCTGCAATCGAGGTCCCGCGAACTCGCGCTGCTTCAGCGGTTCAGCCAAATCTGCGAAATCCGGGTCGGGTCTGGTCAACCCGACAACCCGAGCGGGTCGGGTCCAGGTTGAAATGTCCGACCCGCTTGCAAAAACGGGCCGGGTTTGGGCTGATCCGTTTAGATCTGGGTCAGCTCGGGTTCGACCCGAACTCGACCCGTCAACCCGAATTGACACCCCTACCTGCGTCCAAGTGCGATTGTTAGAAATGTCTGCAGAACACGCAGAGAATCCCTCTCCAACTATCACCTAGCTCTCTCGAAACCGTGTATACTCATCCTACGAACAAAACATAATATAAGATTAATCATCATATAATCGTTGCTTACAATATTTATGTAAGTATAATATTCTTATATACTTACACATGCTCTCCTGGCTCGCTTATCCACCCACTGCTGGTCTTGCTGACGCCTATGAGTGTGACTGTGTCACTGGGTTCTCTACCAAGCATCACCTTCTAAAATATACTTAGATTAGAATGTATATACAATGAAATTATTAAAATATATTAAAAAATTTACCAATCTTCATCTATGCTCAGTGTGTGGAATTGAGCCCCAAGTATGTAGGGAGCTTCCCAGGCCTATGACGTTAGAAGTTCTATAGTTTGGGCTACCCCAAGCACTTCTGAGCTCAGCCCATACACCCTCGTGAATCCAAAGCGGACATTCGATTGTCCTCCTAATGCGATTAAACATGTCTCGCAGGCGAGTCGCTCCGCATTTCTCAAAATTTGTTCTGATACAAGTATAATGCTGAGGCAACCAATAGAACTTTCACTGCACATAACAAATTAGGAAAAATTTATTATTTATTAGCTTAATAAAAAATGGACAACTATTAATAATATTATGGCTTACTAGCCTCAAACTCTCTGAATCACATGTAACGCACTTCCTTTAGGATTTTCTTCTAAGAGACATATGGAGCATCAAACCTGCTCCGTATGATATCCTAGATATATGATATCTCGCACATACACATTTACGTACATGTAACCCTCAGGCTCAACCAGCATGCGCCCATCCGTAGTTGGTGCTACGGCAGCCTGTGTGGAAGGTCCAGCTGCATAGGTCTGAGGAGGTGGTGGGTAGTAAAATTATTGTTGAACATTTGGTGGATAGGGATAACTAGCAAGGAATCCCTGAGAAGATGGTGGGGGATAGTATGGGTAAAAGGGAGCGGTCTACACAGGGTATGGTGACGGAAAGCGGGGGTCTTGGGTGTAAAACTGCTGACTCCCTGTAGGAGCTGTAGGCAAAGGGGGGTTAGGCTGGGTATGAGTGACATGTTGTGAAGTGCACATCCTGTTAGTACCAGTTCGTCCACCAGTTCTTAACCTGCTTTTGAAAATATTTGAGAACAATCGCCTTGGGTCTCATCTCCTCCAGAAGACATCTGCAAAAAATAAAAGAACTAATTAGCTACAATTTGTATATTTATAAAAAATTAGGAAATAAGTAAATTAAATGCAGGAAATAAGTAGTAACTACTTCTATGCTAACATGAAAAAAAAAATGAACTACTATATCTATACTAACATGTAAAAAAGAAACAACTGTACAAGTAAAAAAGGAACTACTATATCTGTACGAACATGTAAGAAAGGAACTACCGTATAGGAATTACTGTACAAGTAAAAAAGAAACTACTATAAGAACTACTGTACAAATAAAAAAGGAACTACTATATCTATACTAACATGTAAAAAAAGAACTACTATACAAGTAAAAAATGTACTACTATATCTATACTAACATGTAAAAAAGTAACTACTATACAAGTAGAAAAAGGAACTATTGTATCTGTACTAACATGTAAAAAAGAAATTATTGTATGTGTCTACTAACATGTAACAAAAAATTTCTAATTAATTCACATTTGTATTATAACTATTAATCACTAGATAATTCACTTCCATTTAATGAGGCCAAATCATTACTACTAACATCTTCAATGTTCTCCTCAATGTCCAAGTCTACCTCGTCTAACAACAACTTGATCTCATTAACTGCAAGTTGATCATCTACATCATTGGCAGGCTCTGTAAAGTTCGACATGCACTCGTCTTGAGTAAAGTCACTCATCCACCTAAGCATGCTCATCTATTCAACACTTAACTTAATATTATGCTCATCTTTTAATGGTCAACATTCTACGTATATTATTAAACATTTTAAGTCTCATCACCATCTTATAGAATTTTTCCTTAAGTTTGAGGGGAACTATTCTATCACATAATAAGCCCGATGTATTCCTATACACTTCAACCATATTTGACATGTGGCGGCACCCAATTAGTTTTTGACAGGATGATGGAACTCACATGACATAAGGGATTCATCCTAGTCATCCAATATTTAGATAAGATGACTATGATTAAATCTAGAAAAAAGTGTTGGAACTCATATGAGACATATACAAGTTCATCACAACCATCTATTATATTCAAATAAAATGAATGCTCATGATTTTTTGCCCTTCCTCTCTCCTTGAAATGGAGGTTGTTATGATTTTTCTTATTAATCCTAGTAGATAATGGTCTCATCTTTACCATAATGATCGAGGATGATTAGAGAGTCAAGGACTTGCAATCCAATAGTAAGATTTCATTAGATTACAAGTTTACTTCATAATGTGTGAAACTAGATTTTATCTAATTAGGGATTGAGGCATGCCTTTGTTTATCAAGAATTCTGATCCATTGAATATCCATGGCGCACAAAATCTTTGTTTCCCTCTTTTTGCCGTAAATCCCAGATTTATTAAACCCTATAGTTCGGTGGATTTAAGGGATTCGGCTCAAGAAGCGCGCAAAAGGGAAAAAGTTACCTTCAAAGCAAGCAAGCTCCCGTTGTTTCTTCCGATCCTGATCCAACAGAAAGGACATCGTTGAAGGAGCGAACTCGAACAACGAAAAAGAACGGCGAACGTCGGCGAGGAGAGGATGGGTCGCGAACAAGGAATGTCAGCGAGCAAAGGTCGTTGCTGTGGGTTTGGGCATGAAGGAGCAGACGAAACTCGCAAATGAAAGAAATGACCTGTATATCAGTTTAGATAAACTTCTTTGTGACGGATTTGCGGCGAATTTGTGACGGATTTTCCGTCGCAAATCTGTCTCAAATTCTGCACTGGAAATTTCTGCCGCAATTTTGTCAAAAAAATTTTCCGTTGCAAAGCTTGCCACAAATCACGGGTTTTCATGTAGTGAGGATTGCCTGTGGCAATATTTATTTTGGAGTGTAGGAGTATATTTAGTTGAAAAGAAGGTTATAAAAATAGACCTGTTTGATTTGTGCATGTTCAAGTGGCGGGGAGGGAATAAAATGTGTTGTTTAGGTTGGAATATGAAATAATTGTAAACGGAATAAATAGAACAGATTAAGGTGACACTGATAGAAGTTGTGCATGAAGATTGAACACAAAGTACATTAGTTTAAAAAAAATGAACGCCAAAGAATGTTTCATAAAGCTTACCTCTAGTGCATATAAGTTCAAGATGGTTCATACATTCATGCATGCATTTGTGAATAAATTTATTACTTGGGCCATGTCAAGTTCCTCAAGGGACCTTTTTCCCAACGAAACAATCCACAGGAATTAAGATTGCCGCTGCATACCACAAGTCATGTCATACATTTTGAGCATCATATATTGTTCAAACTAATTTTTATCATAGATCTGGAAAGCATGCTTTTGTTTTAATATTAGATTTTTTTAATAAAGCTATGCTTTTTTAACTAGGTCCAACCTGGATATGTTACTTTTCTGCTATGTGGTTTATTCTTCTTTCTTTTCCTTTTTAATCTGCAAATTTCTTGCATTCTTCTTAGAGCTGTTTTTTGCAGGACCCATCCATGTTATCTTTCTTAATATAAAACTTCGTACCAGACTACTACTAATTTTCTGCCTCATTAAATCTTCTATGCTATTTTAGTATTGGGCGTGTTAATCCTGAGCTTTATGCTTTAACTGGTCGTACCTGGGAAACACATAATCAATGTGCTGAAAAGTTGGGGTCTCATTCAAATTTGGAATCATGGATGTTAAACTATGTCAATAATCTTTGTGTAAACACTTGGCAGGTAATTCTACTTTCTTCTAGATTTTTTCAAACTGCATCAATGCACTATTATGAGTTAAATATAAGCTTGGCCGTCTAACCTTTTTTCATGCTGTAGGTACGTTTAGCTCCAATATTTTCTATATATTTAAAATTTTAATTGATGAATGTCATTTTGTCAAGAAATCCATCCAAGCAGGACTTACATTTTTTTGATGCATGAAAAGGAATGTACGCAATTGTTCAAGCTTGCTTCAAATCTTGTCTTTAATGTGGTAAATTGTATGACGAAAATGATGTTTATGGGGTTGTTTGTTTGATGGGCTATAGAATCTGAAATTGAAGGGGACAAATAAATTACCGTTTACTATTGAAAATAGATATTTCTCAAAATTTCCAAACTTGCACAATAATTCCAATGAGTGGCATCTATTATAGAGCATCTCTATACCCATGAAATTTGCTAACGGCGCAGTCCGACCGCGCGCCGCGGGGTCGCCGGCCCTCCCTCTGCCGGTCGGCGTCGGCGGTGGTCGGCGGTGGCCCGCATCAGTTTCCTACTTGGAAGTCAGTTTATTATAATAGTTCGACATAAAGAATTAAATCTTAACTTGAAAAAATAAGGTAACTACAAACAAAACAACCTGTGATGTTACATATGCTCTTTAATGCAACTCTTATCATTATGAAAATTTCCTAACATCTAGACATAGAGGGACTTGCAATTTTCTCCAATGCTGTGCCTGCTTCTTGTTTTTTATCCTCTCATGCCGCATCCCACCCTCTTTCTGTGAGTTGGTACCCTAAATAGTGTCTTCCTTTTAACAGGTAAAAAGATATATAGATTTATATTCTATAACATCTGTCATTGGACTTCCTGCAGAAGATCTGCGTTATATAAATGCTTTATATAGTCAAGCTCAAGGGAGCTGGTTAGATATCATGAAGTTTGCACTCTACTCCGAAAATGGCACCCATAGCAGGATAATCGATAATACAGCATCTGTTCTTCAAAGACAAATTGATGCATATTCAAGATTTTTGGAAGGTGTTGCGGAGCTTGCACGCTTTGCATGGACTGAATTCAATTTGATGTTGATGGTCTTTGGTCTTTGTGTTATGCTAACAGCCCTCTGTGTTCATCTTTATTCCATCAGAACAGTCCATGCCCTGTGCAAATCATATTATCCATTTTCAGGCCGTTCTGCTTCTTTAAGAATTCTAACAGTTACCTTTTTTGTGGCAATACGTGCGTTCAGTTTCCTCTCAAACAGTTATATATGTAAGTTGGTTCCCTTCAACATCTGCTGTTATCTGCTGCTTTACTTTTCTAGGCAACTTTTCCATGAATTCTACTTTGTGTGTGTCAGTGGCAGAAGGCCGTGTAGCAAGTTTTCTCTTAGGTACAACTGGCATTCTTAACCTATGGTTTTCATCAGATACTGGTGAAGTTGCAGTAGAAGTAAGTTTTGGTGCCTCAACCTTAAAAGGTTTAAAAAATGCAGCTTTATGGACTGTAGCTTGTCGCTATGCTACCATTTTAGGTGTCTTTATATATGCATGTTATCTGTGAATTTAACTGTGATTTTGCTTACAGAACTTATTGTTTCTAGTTCTCAATATCATCATCAGATTCGGCATGGAATCTGGGCTATCGAAGGAGACTATTGGTTCTGGTTCTTCAATTGTTCATTCTTTCGGCAGTACTGGTATTGAGAAGGGATGGTCTTTAAAGATTGGTCTGCTCGAACTCTTACCAATCCTTGCTTTGTCTATATTGGTGGTCCTTATATATATTATTATTTCTCGAAACTCTTTTTGGAAACGCTTAAAATATTTTTATACTATGGGAAATATTCTATGCTGCATGCTAATGTCAGTGCACTGGATCGTGGAAAGCAATATCATTGGTGCTTCTGAAGAACTTAAGAATTTTGGAAAAACTTTTGCACCCCGAATCATTTATTCCATTGGACTTCTTCATTTTGTCCTATTAGCACTTTCACTGACTATAAATAAGAAATATATGGTTCCGGTTTCAAATCCAACCGATGCATTAGCAATTGTAGCCACAGGCATGCTTTCTGCTTGGAGCTCAACTATTTTAATTTTGTTGGGAAGGCAAGGTCCAAATGTTGCTTTAGTCTGCATACTTGGAGGTATGACATTTATTTTTTAAATTCATGCTAATGTAAAGTGAAGTAGAAATTAAGGGCCGCAGATTATTAATCATTGAGTATACCATTTTAAGGAAGGTTTTTTAAGTAGGGCCTTCTTTTCTATGTTCTTGTATGTTTCAAATGTTTGTCATTTTGTTTTTTGAAAATTGCGTTTTCATATGGCAGCTTGGTGTATAACAAGGCTGAACTGGGCAGCACAAGTTGATGCTGAAAGTGGTACTGCTACAGGACCCATTTCTAATCCTATGCCGGTGTTACAGTGGAGCCTTCTAGCAGTTTGTCTGTTCTCTTACACTGGTCACTGGTATGCTGTTCATTTTTTGGTTACAGGACCTAATGAAGAATATCTTATCCATTGGCTTGATATATTTTATATTGCTTGTTATTATTGGAGCACCAATTCATTTGCTATTCATTCTAGTTCAAGCATATCAAGATGTTGGTGGTGGCATAGCGCTATGAATAATTTATTTATTTTTCTTGTAGCATACTAACTTAGGATTCGTTTGGGACGGCTTTCTTATTGCTTCCTAAAGCGGCTTTTTAGTACAAAAATTTTAATTTTTGTACTAAGAAGCTGCTTTAAGAAGTAGAAAGAAAGCCGTCCCAAATGTATCCTTAATCACTAATGCTCATATTTACATACTTTTGTCTCTTATAGGGGATAGCTTGTATTCTATGAGATAACATTCTACCATATTAGTTGTTTCATTGACGTCGACTTCTTAGTTTATGTCTTCTTGCAATTTCTGTTCACTACCTCCTGGAGCCCTTTAGCATTTGAAATATATGTGATCTTTTTGCCTTTACTTGTTTCATTGCTAATTGGTTTTTATTTTCGTACAATTCCTGTGTTCATGCCTTCCAATTTATGATCTTCCTGCACCTCACTGAATGTGAGATCTGCCATCTTTCTTTAGGGAATTGTTATCTTTATATTTTCTATTACCATCACGATGTGTTACTGATTAGCGATTTTCTGTTGTGGGTATAACTCAACTTGCGGTTTCTGGTTTCCTCTATTATCAAATATTCGGTTTTGCAGCTCATAACTGATCTATGTGAATTTTAGGGCTGATCGATGGCTGGGATTGTAAAAGAAATTTTGTGATTATCAATAATAGCTTGAGGCAAAAAATTGAATTATTTTATTTTGAAAAAAGTTGTAGTTTGATGTGATATACCTTTTATCTCTTGGCATCAACTTCTCGATCAATTTAGAGACTTGAAGTGGAAGGGTTTATATCTTTGTACATGCATGAGTCTTATTTTTTCTACTTCTGGTGAATTATTATTTTTTCTGTTTTTTTATTGTGCTAAAATATGTTTTTTAGATTAATCGTATAAACATTTTGCTGAAATTGAATGTAATTTGTTTTTCAATGAGTGTTCGGATTTCAGCTCATTACATGACTTTTTTAGTTCTGATTTTCGATTCTTTATTTCTAGTAAAACAGCATTACCCTTATATTTGAATTAATTTCCTTCGTAATTTTGGTTTTATCAAAGATAGATAATATTTGTTAAAGATTAGAAGTTTATCACATGAAAATTTTTGTATGCTTTCTACATAATTTTCCTCTTGTTACATTAAATATATATTAGAAGCCTTGCTAAGACCTAAAAACTTTGAGCATCAGATTTGCTATTAGAGCTTAAATTTGCTCCGCAATGTCTTTAACACGCATGGCAGAGTAACTTAGATTTTCAATAAAACTTGAAAAATTAAAATACCATCTATTTGATTGAAACAAAAATGCTGTTTTAAAACATAGTATTTTTCTATAAAGAGGTTGTCATTCATATGATAGAATTGTCTTATTTGTGTTATTTATTAGTTAGGCGTCAAAATTTTAAGAAACCTAATAAATAGAAGCCTTAATGTTTCTTCATACTTTTTTGCTTTATAAATTAGTTAAATAATATATTAATTAGGAAACATGCAAGCATTTTTAGAATTATCCTTGTATGCATCAAATCCTATTATTGGATCCATTGTTCATGCATGATATGCATGAAAGTATTCATACAAAACTTAAATTTATTGTAAACTATGATAAGTCATTGTCTAATATAAATTTGAATAGAAGATTTGTGAAGTATAAATACCATGATGTGATAATAGTTTATCTAAAACCTTGAAACCCTTACACTACTAACAAAGTGGGGACATATAATCATCAGAAAATTAGGAGTGATGCTTATAAGCTTAGAAATCCATGAAAAATGGTGACATTAATACAATTTTTAATGTTTTAATCATTGCCTTGAATTATTATCTTTTGGCACCTCCTATTTCGAAATTCATATCCCACACATTATTAATTAGATATCTTGACAATCATTCTAATTTTGTTCCTAAAGCTATTATTGGAGATTGAATTAGGTCCACTACTAATGGTGGATGCTAAAGATGCCTTATAAATGGGATATATATATATCAATTAGTGAGGATTACTTAATTTCTCTACAGAAAGTGCAACAATACTTAAATCTATTTAATAAATATGAATTGAATAATTTGTCAGAGTTAAATTGGTTTTAAGTACAAAAATTTGATGTATTAACATCCTTTATACCTCTTTTGGTATACTTTTGGTGTAACTTCTCCATAAATTTTATGACTTTATCCTCATTGACTTCAACAAGTCCTTTATACCACCTCTTTAATTTCTGTTCATATCTTACGACTCTTATGTGATTGTATAATATGCAAACTTGCGCCTTTATTACCTTTATCCCTTATTGCCTATAACTTATATATCCCCCTGATCCACCAGGTTCTTCAATATCTATTTAATCCACCTTCAAAATCAGTGATATCTACCTTAGCCCATAATCCTGGTAATGCCTTATTAGTTCTCTTCTTGGAAACCTTGGATAGGATTCATCCTTTTTGGATGATTCTTGAAAAGCTTGATCCCTTTCCATCTTAAAATCTACTCGAATGCCATTCAAATGGATTGAATGCAAGTTGCTTTTGTGGTTCTAACTCATCGCTGTTTTATGATGTAGTTGTTGGATTTCACATTGGAAATCTTCTATGGTACCCCTTGGGGTTGGCAGGGTCAATTTTTTCTAGGTTGTATCCTAAACATAGGGCTCTAATACTAAATTTGACACCAATAAGGTGTATCAAACAAAATAAAACAATTCAATTTGATACAAACCAATGTCAATCTAGCATTGTATGATAGCTCCAAACTCTAATTGGGAATTCTAAAAAAGCATGCTAGCTTAAAGTTTTGTTACAATGAACAACGATTCCACAAACTAAATAAGAATGAACCACACATCCTTTGCTATACAAAATAATAGTCGTTGTCTTAAACTCCCAATTCAATTTCTTAGATAACAGTTGCAGTAGTCCTCAAGTTATAATAGTATTTCCTCCTAGTTGGAATTCCTTCCATGAGTTATGTGCCAAAGGAAAATTACGGCTTTGTTTAGGACAACTTTCATATTGCTTTATAAAGCGACTTTTTTATATACAAATTTTTTGAAAAAGAAAAATTTATAATAGAGAACAGCTTTAGAAAACAATAAGAAAATTATTTCAAACGAAGCCTAAATTGGTAGCTTATTTGATCAAGATAACAATTAATATAATTAACAAAGAAAAGGAAAAAAAAGAATCATGTAGGTGCCATTTGGGATTCGAAAAACAAAGACATTTCAGGTTGCTAAAATCTAGTTTTGAAATGTCTCTTGATGATGGTCACCCGCCTCTTTTTGGTTCGAAACAAGATAACCAATAGCTCAACTATTCTTGATGAAAAATAATTTGGTGAGATAATCAGATTACTTGATAGTGATGGAAATATCTCATGTGATTGTTATCTTGAGTTAGAATTCAAGAGCCTTTAGTAGAGAGCATGATACCTAGCTTTTCTTACATGGTATTGATCAAGAATATTTAAGATATGGTTGAGTGCTCTAGTGATCACCATTCACAGGATAAAACTATAATGGGACTATCCGAAACCCAAAGATTCTTTGTTACTTCCTTTACCCTCATACAAAGGCTCTAAGATTTTCCACTGGACCACAACAATGCTTGGAAGGCTTTTTTATGCTGAATCTAGAGGCAACCTCTCGAATGTGGTCTACAAGAGATAGATTTGAGTTCTGAGATTAAATAGTGGTGTCTCAGAGTTCACTATGATCTCCTTCCCTTTTTTCAGGATTATGTAATTCTTCCCAAAATAGTACAAAACCTAAAATAAATAAATAAATAACCCTCTTCAAGCATCAAGCATGGGTATATATAAATAGCCATCTTAATAATGCATAGATGTGATAATTACTAAACTAGATGAGATAATCAAATTACTTGATAGTGGTTGAAAGATCTCATTAGATTGTTATCTTGAGTTAGAATTCAATTTCCTTGAGTAGAGAACCGGCTGCCTGCCTGGCTTTATTTGCATGGTATGGATCAAGAACCTTTAAGACGTATGGTAGATTGCTCTATTGATCACCATTTGCCAGAAAAGTATGACGTAACTGTCTCAAATTGAAAGATCCTTCATTACTTCCTATACAATTACCTAGAGATTTTCCACCGCACCAAAACAACATTTGGAAGGCTTTTTTGCATTGGATCCAAAGGCAAACCTCTCGGATGGTCTAGAGGTGATAGATTTTGAGTTTCGAGATCAATCGTGATGGAGTACCAAACTTCGCTATGATCTCCTTCCCTCTTTTCTTTTCTAGGATTATGCAGTTCCATCCAAAATAGAACAAAACCCAAAATAAACTAAAAAAAAACCTCTTCAAACATCAAGCATGGGCATTTATAGATAGGCATCTTAATAGTGCATCTATGATGCACCGACACTTCTCCTCAAATAGGTGTGCAGTGTCCGACACCGTGTCCGACACGACACTCGTCCGACACTCCTCCGACACTTGTCGGACACGCTAAAAACGTGTCCGATTAAAAAAATATTAAAAACAAATTGGACACGGACACAGTTGTCAAACATGCGTATCTTAAATATTTTATAATTTTTTTAAAATATAATTTCTTATATTTGGCGAGATTTAAATTGAATTTCTTATTTCATATCCACAACACCAAATCAACGTCTGCATTTAATACCCATTCATCAAATATTCTTATTTTTTTTCTCTTTGGCAGTGAAGATATTTTCATCTCCTCTCTTTTTGCATAATTACAAATCTTTCTCTTGTTGAACCAGAGTTAAAAGTAGTGATATTCAATGATGATGATATTGAAGGACAAAAACAAACCTCTAAAGCTAATCCTAGTAGTTGAAGCTTAAATGCTTGATGTTGTAG